CATACTTTCAGTACCAGTACCACCGACCTCTCCCTCCCCTCTCTACTCGCATCTACGTCGTCCACATCCTCCCAATCCTATTTCACCAACTCTACGAGCAATGTGTCACCCGGGACATCGCCCAAACGTAGCGTTGGCGCCAACGCTCTCCTCACTGCCGCGAAACACGGTAAAGGACATCTAGATAAGGCGATGAGGTACCTTTTGGACAGTGATGCGATGCCAGATAAATGTACAGACCCAATATGGATTCTTGGAGTCAAACATCCGGGATGGGAACCTCCACCACCTTCCAACACGCTTGCGACGACTGCTTCTCTATCCCCATCCCTCTCATCTTCAACAAAGTCCATGCGGTCGCCAGTCTCATCAGTCTCGGACGCGACTCAAGGCCAGGGAGGAGGAGGAAAGGCAGGTGGCATACAATGGCCACCCGTCTTTTATGCTGATTTTACGTCGCGGATTTGGTTAACATATCGTTCGCATTTCACGCCTATTCGAGATGTGCGGCTGGGAGATCTGGATGGGGTTGATGCGGCCAGTTCGTCATTGCCGGTGTCTGTATCTGGATCGGCGGTGGGGACGTACAGCTCAAGTAAGACGGATGCGAGCGCGAGAGGGCGGAAGGAGAGGGGAGATAAGGAGAAGGAGGAAGGAAGTAGTAGCCCTGTGATAGGACGGCGACCGTGGACGTGGGGTGGCGGTGGTGCGAGTGCAGAGAAGGGCTGGACAAGTGATTCGGGGTGGGGATGTATGCTTCGGACTGGTCAGAGTCTTCTTGCAAATGCATTGGTGCATCTGCATCTTGGGCGGGGTGCGTTTTCATTTTTCCGTTCTCAACTTTGAATTTTATTGATTGGCTTATTTGACTTGTTAGACTGGCGCCGCCCTCCACACCCGATACCGACAGCTGACTACGCGATGTATGTGCAAATCTTGACGTGGTTCCTCGATACACCTGCACCCGAGGCCCCGTTTAGCGTGCATCGGATGGCGTTGGCCGGGAAAGAGCTGGGTAAGGATGTTGGGCAGTGGTTTGGACCTAGTACAGCTGCGGGTGCAATCAAGTCAGTTCCGATTCTCCTCCCTCCTATGGACACTAGCTGACTATATTTTTCAGGACACTGGTAAATGTGTTCCCAGACGCCGGGCTAGGCGTCGTCGTCGCCACCGACGGGGTACTGTTCCAGAGCGAGGTCTTTAGTGCTTCACATACGAATTACGCAACTAGCGTGAGCGCGACGAGACACCAGAAGGGTTTGACAGGGACATCGTGGGGTGATCGGCCCGTACTGCTGTTGATTGGCGTCAGACTTGGATTGGACGGGGTTAATCCAATCTATTACGAAACCATCAAGGTGCGTTGTGTAGTCTGACAGCCCTTTCGGAGGGAGGTTTTTTCCTGATTGTAGTCTTGTCGGCTGTAGATGTTGTACACGTTCCCTCAGTCCGTTGGAATTGCAGGCGGCCGACCGAGCTCATCGTACTACTTTGTTGGCTCGCAGGCTGATAACTTGTTCTACCTCGACCCGCACCATGCTCGGCCCGCGGTTGCCCTACGCCCTGCTCCACCACCACCAGCTACGCCGCCGCCAGCACCACCACACCAGGGCTATCACTCCCACGAAACCGAGACGACGCCAGACGAGTCGGAGGCGGGCAGCGCGTACCCTGGGCAGAAGCGGAACACGCCACCTAACCACGCTTCCACAAACTCTCCGTCGTCCGTACGTACAGGTTCATCGACATTTTCGTACCATGCCCCACTTTCGCCTTCGCCGCTGCAGCAAGAGTTTTCGACGTCTGGAAAGGGCACGGAGTCGAAGAATAGACTGAAAGCCTCGCTCTCTTCTTCGAACAAACAGCCTCGCCCACATACGCAGCCAAATCTCAGCACACATTCGAATACAGCGCGGTTGCGCTCCGCTAGCGTTAGTGTGAGCTCTACATACTCCGAAGCTCTGCACGAAAACGACTTGAGCATGTTTACTGGTGTGCTCGATCCTGTACAGGAGCATTACGTTACAGCGTATCCCGTGGCTGAGTTGAAGACGTATCATTGCGAGCGGATTAGGAAGATGCCTCTTAGTGGGCTGGATCCAAGTATGTTGATTGGGTTTGTGTGTAGGGATGAGAGTGATTGGGAGGATTTTAGGAGACGGGTTGGGGAGGTGAGCCGTTGTTTTGTTTTCTGCTTTTCTGAGTCTTTTGAACTGATAACGATGGATGCATATCCATAGCTTCCGAAGACTGTGTTCTCGGTACAGGAGGAACCACCTTCGTGGCCGTCAGATGTAGATGATAATATGGGACTCGAGTCGTTCTCGGAGCCTGATCCAGATGACTTCTTGTTGGATATGGATCATGAGGAGAAGCAGGATGAGGACGAGGATGAGGACGAGGATGAGGAGAGGGACGAGTACTTTGATACACGCTCGCCTTCGGCATCGACCTCCACCTCGAGCGCTAGTGCCAGCCAGAGCGGGAGTGCAAGTGGACATGGGGGTAAGCGTGCGCGAGGTACGAGCGAAGATGTGGACACGGAGGAGGATTCTGTAGACCCGGTCACTCCTCTTCCGAACGCGAGGTTCACTATCGTGCCCCCACCTCCACCTCCTAAAATGCGTGACGACGATGATGGCGAGGAAATCAAGCAGGAGATGTTTGACGACGACCACGACGACGACGATATCGAGGATGATTGGGTGGATCCATCTGTACCTACGCCTATATCATCCGTCTCGTCTTCGATGCACGTTTCTCCTCCTGCTGCCCCGGCCGCTCCGACACATGTCCGTGCCCACACGAGTCCCAAAATGCACAACAAGACAAGCCGAAAAGGGCGAAAGGAGGTTCCGGTTCCTGTGCCTCTTGTCAAAGTCCCTACGCCGTCTTCCTTGCATCGTAGCTCGAGTCACGGCCAAAGTCAGCAACAGCAACAGCAGCAGGAACATTACCCTTTCCCTGTCACGGATGAGGTGTCCCCGCCGCGGCCGGAGCATCGGCTACGCCATACGTCTAAGGGGATGATGGGAGGAAAGAGGATGCATACGGCTCGCGCGAGGGATGGAGGGAGGACACAGAGTGGGGGTGTTAAGGGTATCTTGACGGGCGACTGAAGAAGAGTTGACACCCCCTAAGTCATGCTGTTGCCGGGTTCTTTCCCCTCCTCTCTCCATGCCGGACACTCGGGCTTCGTTTACACCTTTCTTGGTCAGGTCATGATGGCAGGACACGTTTACGCTTTGCTCTTCTTCAACGTGTATTCTTCGTCCCCTGTTTGTTGATCTGGGTAGTTTCTCCTGAACGACATTATCTCTCGCTTTTACTTTCTTTTGTTTTTCTTAAAGATTTCAAATTTTGTGTATTACTAATCCAGTTCGACCACCCTTCGCACCACGCATACATGATATGACCACCCTGCTTATAGAGATACCCAATCGAATGTTGTGTTTCATTCATGTACACCACGGCCATGGTAAGCTTGTTTGACTTTAAGATCCCGAGTCGTATAGGATTGTGTGATTTTGTGAGATGACAGCTAGTTATATATATCGACACGACGAATCGACACGACGAACCCAACCAATCTACTCGCGGAACCTATCCATAGCCTAACGACCTCCTCTCGTGCTGGCTATCAGTACTCGTACTCCTCGTCAACGAACGCCAGGTAAGTTGATCATTTGATCCACCGTGAGCTATTCATATTTGTCACTAGCATGAGCGTTCTCGACGTAACTAAGTCGATTCGACTCTTCGTTTAGGAGGTAAGTATATTTATGGATCTACCTACTCCCCTCTATCTCCTCACCCCACGACACTGCAGGGGCTTGTTTTCTTGGTGTTTTGGACGCAAATTTGCACCGTATTCCTCACCAACGGATCTCAGTCCCAGCGAAATCAGTGATTATCTGATGACATCTCTTTGAAGTTGAATACCCTGTGTTAAATACCTTGTAAGTCGGCGATTTCTCATGCTCTCACGACTTCACTAAAATGTAATACCTGCCTCAACGTTAGTTCACCTGATGCCGATCATGACGTCCTTCAAGTACCATTATCTACTCCTCCACCTCTTCCACTCAATCGTACCCTCGCTGTTGGTTCTTCCGCCTGTAATCTCGTATGTATCATCACAGGACCATTGGTGGAGGTAGAACTAGATATACTTATGTTTTCACTCGTCCACCCTGTCTTGTGTGTATTTTAATACCAATCACCTTCAAGACCGCAAACCCCTCAACAACAACAACATGATCGCCCACCGTCGAGCTATCAATGGGGCCCGTTCGTGCAAATCTCTCCTTGCCTCCAATTGAGGACTCGATTGTTATTCGTCCAATTCGCCGGAGGCAGAATCTAGTCCGTATTCTTCCTGTCTTTGAATATACCAAATACTCGATGCACGCGTCAAAATATACAAGGGGGAGTTTGCGGAAAGACATTCTGGATACTTATCCATCCTTCAACATATCTTATTCTTCGACTCCAGATCTGCCGTAGCCATCTCTAGACTTTATTGATTAATTGCCCTTTCCTGCTTCGGCGTGCCGCCCACGGTATTGCGGGAGCTCCAATTGAGCATTGAGAAACATTTGAAATAGTATCAGAGGCTTTGACGAGGGGAGATAATGAGTCATTTTTTGGTTATTGTCCAGTTGGACACAACGTCTCAACATGTACTGCGGTTCGTCCCTTATGGACGAGATATTCGTGTTGATGGCCTTCAGAATCCTGGAAGTGGGTTGAGAATAGTACCAATAGAGCTTAAGCGTCTATCGGCGGGGTTAGGAGGTTGTACAAGTTAAGTGTTTGCGACCGCAGCGCCTACGGTGATTGTCAGCTGAGTCTGCATGAGCCCAGGAATGAGGTGGCTAGAAAACCTCAACAAATGGTGGTCTAACATATCAACGATGGGTAATGTACAAGAAACTGACAATTGCGCTAAGGGTGTGTGCAGACGTTGAATTCCTGCAAAAATTTTTGCGACCTGGTCATGATGAGAGGGAGATTCGAACTCCCGCCCCCGAAGAGACCAGATGGGAAGCCATCTTATCGATGGAATACCTTAGTCTGGCGCCTTAGACCGCTCGGCCATCTCACCATAACGATTACACAGTAAGCAAGGAATACATACAGAATGCAGGAGATGGTAATTGTCAGATGAATGTGGAAAGTACACATCATCCTGCCGAAACCTAAGCCAAGCCAGTGCCGGAGTGAATGGAAATGAATGTCAGATGTGAAGAGACATGAACGCGCATTGTGGAACCCCGCTCTGGTCTAAACCTTTATTCGAACACCACTTTTGTCGGCGCTGTGAATATGCCACATCATCGCCGTCGTTGTCTTTCACATTTGACTCGACGTAGAAGGTCAATATGAAACCTATAGCGCGTCCATAATATCTAATACAACTGCTCATGAATGTGGTCGTGCGTAATGGAATTGTTCTAGATCTTACCGGTGAAGATATTGCATAATACGTTCCAGGTGTCATCACGAATATCAAGCATCATTTGCACTGTGACTACGTTGCGCGAAACTGACATTCCTCGATCCAGTACTTTAGAAATTCGTTGACGTCATCTCGTTGGTCCAGAATGAATGTAAACCACTATATTTTTCGAAGATGGGTAATCATTTTTACATTGGGAGGGGGCTTATCTGAATTGAGCGTTCGAAGGATTCTTGTGCCAATCCAAGATCGATAGAGCGCCACTCCTGGATGATTAGGCTGTCATCTTTGGTGTACACCCATCTATGCAGGCCAGAATTCTCCATTCAAACAGCCCAGGGTCCCTTGATTTTCCCCAGTGGTAGTATGGTTGCGAGCAAACCCCTGAGAACTATGAGCAAAGGGAAAAGAAGAAGATAATCTGATCCTACGACCGCACCTGCTGAAAATACCTTGTAATGAAAAGTGACCAAGTTGATGGTGTAGAACAAGACGAGCTTTTTATCTTCTTCGTTTTTGCTGATCTGCGGGCCCGCCAGGTTCCGCTGTGCAAGCCGAAATAACTGCTGTCCGTCCTGGCTTCAGCGTACTGATCCATGGATGGCTCTTCCACTGACGTAGAATACCTCGGCAATTAGAGATGTAGAAGGAAACAACACATAACAACCTGAGCCGTTTGGGTGGTAGTACACATAGTCCTTGAATTCCTCCAGGATCTCATATTGGTCAAGGTATGGCCTTCAAGCTTGCACTTTTCGAGAAGATCGTCCATCCAATGAGGATATACTTCAACTTTTGTTTGTGCAGAATGCTTGGCTGAAAATCAAGGTAAAGACAGCTGCCTTTAAGTTTACCATGCGATCGGCGATCGTTGGAAAGCCAAGCAGTTTTGATCGTTCAGGGTCTCACTCTTGGATCATTGACCACGACCGCATTCAAACCTTTTCTTTCCGTCCAAAAAATTGCTTAGTAATCTGTCTTCTAGATCCATAGTTGAGCTTCTTATCCCAGTATGAGACGCTAACGACACTAGATGCAATGACCCCCGTGCCTCCATAGCAGTATGAGAGATAATCTCAGTGTTACAAACCTCGTGTGACATCCTCATGCCTCTCTGCTCTGTTTTTCTGTATTCTATCTCCTCACATTCTATCACAACAAAATACGGAACTCTCGGATCGGCGGCAACGTTAGTATACAATAGACGCTACTGGTATGTCACCCCTTTTTGTTCTCCCGAAACCAAGCCTCCATACTTATGCCCGACCTCATTTATATTGCTACTTCCGCCCGGGGAATCAATGGTGTATCAACCATGTATATCAGGGAGTTGGAAGTTCTGACGAGGCCGGATACGTATAGGCGGGCAGTGCAGCAGAGGATTGCAAGTTTGAATGATCATATATTTCAAGGAGAGTTAGATGGGTGCGTTTTGTATTCTCTCTTCTGCATCTTGCGTTACTGAACTGCGGGATGACATAACCGGAGAAATGGTTGTGTTGAGTTTTAATGCCAGTTTTGAATATCGTGTCTGATCCCTTCGAGCTTCGGGAGGGCAACGGGGATAAATGAAGGCTCCACGGAGGTTGCGCTACATGAGGTGTAGGTACATTCTTGAACTGTCAACGCCGGGGGGAAAATCATCATATTCTTGAAAATTCCGACTTGACAGTGCTCATAGCGAAAGCTCACCTCCCGTTGTAAGGAATCCCGCGGGAATCGGCAATTATCACTGGGCCTGCATCGAGAACATTTTGAAGGTGTGTCACACTGTCAAAGACTCGAGGACAAACAGTCGAGAAGATACCGAGGCGCAGAGTGTCAAAACAGGGCGCTTCTAATGGCGTGAGACTCGTCACCTGTCTCCATACGGTATAATTCCTGCGCTTTCGGAGATTAAGAGGCAAAGGTAAAGTTGAAATCTCTCGGTGGTGTCACCCCGTTATTGTCTCGAGCTTGGTCCGTGCGTAATTTGCCTAAAACAAGATGACAAGGTGCTTCCTCAATGAGGATAGTGTGGAATCTCTCCGACAAGTCGGCTCAGCGCCCTTCCAATCGATGGCAGATAATCTGGAAAGCTATAAATGAACAATGGAACTTTAAATGCAGATTTCTATGACTGTTGCGTTTGGTCTTTTTTCTTTAAAACACTTGGGCTCGACGGTAACTCTACAGTGCGCGCACTAATTGCGTTTTCTACGGCGTTTGATTTTGTCGCTTCACAAACCCTGCGGAACATGGAGGAGCTCGCCGATCACTAAGAAGCTCTTGGATTTTCCGCATCGGGCCGCTCATGAGATCATAGAAATTCCTTATTTCAGCTCGAACACTCAAACAGTACGGCGATCTCGTTGTGCGACATTGCAAACACTCTGTGCGTTTGTGTACCATCGCGGACGTGAAATTTCTTTGCTTCGATGAACGATAGATGGACTTATAAATGACTTGATAGCGTTGGCTATGGGCTTCAACACCCCGGAGACAAAGACTGACAATGTTCTCCCTTCGTCGCCTGCTCCGTGTTGCAAGCAATTCCCGTGTCATCGAATATATCAATCACATGTTGGCCCCATTGAACGTAGGGAAAGAACTCAACACCCAACCGAAGAACCCGAAGGACGAACAGCAGGTGAGAACTGCCTTACTACTTGGGACAACTGATATTTCCAATACCCTCACATCAAGAAGGATCTCGTTCTTCACTCGGGGCGCAGGCATGACCAAAACTACGAGAGTTTGAAGGAGGCGCGTGGCATTGTGATCAATGCGGGTCAAGAGGTACGGATATTGACTCTTTAATCGTTTGTTCACCGTTTCAATGCCTTCGGAGTCAGGAGAAATAGCCTGATTATTGAGGGAAAAGATATAGACCGTCGGACCAAATTCTTCTTGTCTCTTGTAAATATTATCGCGACAGCGGATGCAAAAACGAAGTCCTCGACCGCATCGCCCCATCCCTGCAAGGAAAGTCTGGTCGAAGAAAGTGAGTAATCCAGGAGGGGTATGCTTGACCTGTGTCAATGCCTCGGTAAGCCTACAACATCGCGCACTTTAAGAGAAAACCGTAAGTACTGCCCGGCTTCAGAGTGAGACTTGATGGAGCTCAGATCAAGTTGAGTTTCCTTTCTGTCACTGTGTTAGTGCTAGCTTCTTGACCGTGTTCATTCTCCTTTTGTCCTTCGTCCTGCTTTTGTTATCGCCAACGCATCCAAGACACGTTTTTGTGGTTACCTCCTTCCCTTCCTACCTGCAGGGTCTCTCGAGCGCGTCATCTAGGAGTTCTCTGTACCTTCGGGATCCTCAGACTCCTTGGGATAACCAGACCTGCCCGTGCCTGACAGTCTGCACAAACTGATATTGAGACCAAAAGCTCCGCTTGCCTCTGGACCGTCTGCACGATTGATGTCGATGTTCAATTTCCCGCCGCAAAGTTGCCTTGGACGATCAAGCTGACATGGGCGATTGAAATTACCAGCTGCGTGCATAATTTGCACGAGCTTGGCATATACATTGGTGATATCAAACTGTTAAACATCCTACGTGACCGGCTCGGACACTTGAAACTCATGGATATTTTTCCAACTACCAGTTCACACCTGAGTACGCTGTACCTGAGGTAACGATAGAAAAACAGTCGCATTCCCAGGGCTAGAGATGTTTTCGCTCTTGGGATGGTATTATGGTCATTGTCGAAAGAGATTTGGGACTTTGACAGGGAAGTCTGTTCGACTAGAGTCGGTGTGGAGGAATAGAACTGGTTCCGTAATATAGTTGAAAGGGTTTAGATGAGGAGGGCTGGAAACGGCCAAGTGTAAAAGATATTCCTGAGGCCTTGAGAGCTTTATATCAGGTTGCGGAGCTTAATTGATGAATAGCTATCTGTGTTTGATGAATCGGAAAATGATGCAAAGTAAGTAATTGGCCACAAAGTTGCCGCGACAAACATTGCACTCTCACAGATTTCCGTTGAACAGATATATGAATCATTTGCCTCCAAGGAAATTGCTTAAAATTATGATTGGCCAAGGATGGTAAAAAAAGGATGTGGTGGTATCGTTTGCAGCATACTACACTCGATGTCGTGACTCTCGTTTCGGTTGAGCCAAACTCGAACAGCATCACAACAAGATAAGAAGTGGTATCCCCGCTCACGAAGATCGGTAATACACCAATGGATGATATTTACGTGCGACATAGTTGTTCGAGCAGTAAAAGATCTGAGTGATGGAAATGAACGTTGAGCCGCATGGCAAGACAATCATACCCTTTAGGAACCCTCGGCTTCCTTCCGTCCTCGTCCTCGTCATCATGACTCTACCTATCCTCCTGATTCTGTCCTATACCGTGCAGTCTATTGGTAGGTGTACTTTCACTCGTCTGCTGCGCCATTAGATTTGATGAATGCGCTAGGGAAAACACGCGAGCACCGAGCTACAGGTGCGAGATTCAACCTCTGGAAGTACTTTCCGAAATGTAGTCCCTGCAAGTGCTGTTCCTGCTGGTCGTCACAATTCCCAGTTTCGTACGCTTCACCGTGGAATGCTGCTGGGCCTGCATATAACCCGCTCACGAATGAGGGTCTCTCGTGTCCCATGTTCGCGAGACACCGATACCCGCAGCGCCCGGCGAATCTTCAAGAACGTAAG